AAATTAACTATTTAAAAAAAATTTAATTCAACTTTTTGTTATAATTTGATTTACATTTAATAATGAAGTAATTTTTTTATTTAATAATATAAGTATTTATAATTAAGGAATTTTATATATCATTTAAGAATACTTAAAAAATTACGGCAATGGATGGCATATTGTATTTTAATAAAACAAATTGCATGAAAAAGTAGCGTACTTTAATTTGATTCCTATTTTGGGTAACGTATTGTTAAAACTTTCGTTATGGTAGCTAAAATGTAAAGTTTTAAACATTCAAGTAACCCGGGTAACCGGTTAAAGCATTAACCGGTTATCATGTTGATGTGGCGAATGATGTGGTATCTAACTCAGTATTATTTGATGACGTGGTTAGTGACTTGGATTTTTTTTAAATCTAAAATTAGTGTTTTTTAAATCTAAAATTAGTCTTCAACCGGTACACAGATACTTAAATGTTTAAAATTTTACATCGTAGATATCAAAATAAAAGTTTTGAAAGTACATTATCTAAAATATGAATCAAGTTAAAATACGTTACTTTTTCATGTAATTTACCCATTTTAAAAAAGATGGGTTTTAACAAAATAAAAATGTTTTATATATTCCGAATAGTTTATATTTCCTCATATTCCAATGCTGTCCAGCAATAAATTACGATCTAAAGAAATAATATTAAATAAAATTAATATTTAAAAAAAATATTTTTAAAGCTTCTCCTTAATTCTAGGAAAAAATTATTAAACAAATAAAGCTAAATATTATTGATAAATTCTTTTTGGATGAATGGATATTAAATATTTTCAGTAAAAAAATAAATTAAAAAACGAGTGGTTTACATCCAGGCATTGGGAATGAGTCGACGACTTCAATCCTTATATTCATCTTGTCTTACGTGAACTCAACCTTGTATATATAATGGGTATGTGGGAGGGGGGGGGAGGAGAGGATGAGGAGTGCGATACTCTTCATCGTCTCCATCCCCATCCCATTTTAGTAGGGAATCGGGAATACTGTCATGTATCGGGACGATGGACCCGGTTCCGGACGTATCTGAACCCATTCCTATTTATATTTAGTTTTAGTAAAAAAACTAATTGTAGTTACAAAATATTTATTTATATATTACATTTAAAAATATGAATATTTAATGCATATTTAACAAAAAAATATTTATAAAAAGTCAAAAAGTTAAAAGAAAATCACTTTTGTCTTCGACAATATTTTATATTTTAAAATATTACATATTAAAATATTTAATATCCCAACAAACTTTCAAACAAATAAAGGAAACAATAAATTACAAATTTAGTCCTTGTGGTTACACATAAATTTTTGTTTACATCCTCCAAACGAAATAATTACAACTATGGTTTCATTTTTGGAGAATGTAAACAAAAATGAAACCATAATGGGATGGTTAAAATTTTATCTGGGTTTTTGTCAGTTTATCATTACTTGCTTTATACAACTGTACTAATGACATTTTGAGCTGTACAAATAAAAAGTTATTAAATAAACAACTAAAATGACTAAAATGCCCCTCAAACGAGAGGCACATGAAGATTTAACGACCACAGATTTAACGAAGTTGATCTGAAAGACCAAATCCATTATAAAAATGATACCATAAAAACCTCAATTGCAATTATCTTATTTGAAGGACCCATTCATAAATTCTATATAACCACACACATAATATTTATTATTTATTCAGGAGGAAAATAATTCCCAACCAAATCATTGCAATAAATTTCCGTTGTAGTAACGGACAAAAAATAAAAAATAAAAACTAAAAAAGGTTTTAAAAAATAAAAAAAAAAACTAAAAAAGTTTAAAAAAAAATTGTATGAAAAAATAACGTAACTTAACTTGATTTCTATTTTGAGTAACGTACTTTCGAAACTTTCATTTTGGTACATGATATTTAAAGTTTTAAACATTCGAGCACCCGGATCACTAGTTGAAGCATTAACCCGTTATCATGTTGATGTGACGAATGATGTGGTATTCAGCTCAGTATTATTTGCTGACGTAACTAGTGACATTAATTTTTTTAATTTAAAATTAGTCTTCAACCTGTTACCTGGATACTTAAATGTTTAAAACTTTACATCTTAGATACAAAAATTAAAATTCTGAAAATACGTTATCCAAAATAAAAATCAATTTAAAGTACGTTATTTTTTCATGCAATTTATATGCTCTAAAGTGAAAATTGATATTGAAGTATCACTTGAAAATCAATTTTTTTAATAAAAAAAATCAATAAATTTATTATTTTGTGTATTAGAAAAATGTTGTTGTACCTACTTTATATCACCTTAGATTTCAAAATACTTATTGTAATTACAGAAATTAGGTATATTCAATTTTATGTGCATATTGGTTTTTTTTAGGTACAAGACATTTACTTAAATTATATAAATAAATAAAAAATATTATATTACAAAATATAATACTTTTTAAATTAAAAATGAATTACTTCTTATTTTTCAAAGCTAAATTATTATAAATATAATTTATATTTTAACTAAACAAATTATATGAAAAACGAGGATGTATTATTTTTGATTTGATACGTGTATCGATAGAGGTGATTTTATCTACAAACTCAATCATTAATACAAACCATACAAACTGGTCTCAACTGTTTATATAGTCTAATGAATATCTGATTCAATAGATATATCAAATGTTTCATGATATAAAACGTTGATTATAATAAATGAATTTTGATAATCTTTTGTAAGTATTCAAATCATAATGTGAGACAAGCATGTTTTCAATGAGACACGTGAGACATGATTTTTACACTTGAAACTTCATAGCAAAACACTGTGAAGGTAACCTTCTCCATGTTTTTGCTGTGAAGATTCGACTTTTTTTTACCTTTACAACATTTTATTTTTGAAATTTCAAGTGTAAAAATCGTATCTCACGAAAACAACATTGTCTCACGTGAACCCAACCCTATATGTGTGTGTATATGCATTTATTGTATATTATAAAACATTTGACAAAAACCCTTAAAAACTATATTTTATACATGAAGTACTGCTTATTGATGTATATTACTGAAATTTCAAGATTATAAGTAAATTATACATAAGTACAATATATTAAGCTCCATATTGGAATTCGTATAACTAACTGTAGATAAATATAATCAAATACAAGATAAAGTTCTCATTTTAAATATATATATAAAATATAATTAGAATAATTATTGAGTTCTAACAAAATACTTAGTTATAATCTTTATAAAAAAATATATTATTAAACCACAAACAAATTACTTCGTCATTAAACCTAAATTAAATTATAATAAAAAATTAAATTAAATAAATTACACAAAAAATAAGAACTTTTATATCTTTTTCATTTTTATGATATCTTCAAATTTATATTTAAAAAAAAACATTGCTGTTACTTAAAACCACATAAACCCATATTATAATATCGACAAAGATAAAAAAAATAAAAGAAAACATTAAAATCGAGATATATCTCGCTACATTGTGCGGATAACCTTTTAATATATATTAAACAAAACTAACCGATAAACTCTATATTCTTTCTAAACATAATTAAGAGGGTATTTGGAATTGTTTATTTGAAACAACTTATTATTTTCTACAAAAGCACTTATCAATTTATTATAAGTCATAAAGATTTAACTTCTTAAAAAACTTCTTATTATCGGTTTGGCACCGGTATAAGTTGTTTATCCAAACACTTAAAAGTGCTTATTGGTGTCACACCGAAATAAGTCAATAAGTTGTTTTTATAAGCAATCCCAAACACCCCCTAAAATTTTAATCAAAGAAATTTTATAAAAAATACAAATTTATATTCTTTTTAATTTGATATATTTAATGAAATAATTTTTTAAAATTTAAATCACAAATATATTCACATTTAAATACATTAAAAAATATATAAAATGTTACAAAATAAACATAAAAATTTCTAAAAATAAACGTACGAAACATTAAAATATTAATTTTGAAAATGCGAATCAAATTAAAGTAAAGATTTTGAAGATGCCAAAATTAAATATTGTAGTTTTTATTATTATTAAATAAAAAAAATAAAATATAAAAATAAAATAAAATAAAAATAAAGAAGCATCACCTATCAATTAGCAGTTGCAAGCAAAAGGCTACTACTGCGCCTTCTCTCAAACTTCCACAGCGAAGCCCACACCTCTCTCTTTCTCCGCCATTGTTGAACCACTTTTTCTTCATAAATTAACCCTTTTTCCGTCTTCCTTGATTCACTGAACTCAAAAAAGCATCAAAAAATGGGGATTTGTTTGTCAACCAAATCGCCACCAAGGAGAAACCACTCGAAACGTGTAATGAATCAATCAACTACATCAATCAACAGCAATTCAAGCCATCGATCGTCTCGGTTTCGATCTTCATCTGGTAAGAAGGAGAAATTCGATGATGCTATTATTCGTGAACATGCAATCGCCGCCGCTCTCTTTTTTCAGCAACACCAGCAGCAAAATGGCGGTGTTTTGCCTTTTGATCGATCGACTTCTCTCCGGCATCCTCCTGGTGCTGCAAATTCTAAGCGCCTCCAAGGTCTTCCTCGGAGCTCTAGTACTAGGCATCGATCGGTTACTGATCCCCTGGTTCCTCCTCAACAGCTCCTTAATCAGGTATAGTTGTTGTCTCTGATTACGCGTTTTAGTCAATTATATGAAAATGATGCTTCGTTTGATTTTAATTCATAGATATTATCATTGCTCGATCATTATTGTGGAATTTAGGGAAAATTATCAAAAATTGATGCAATGGCCAAAACATGCAGATCACTGATGCTAATCAATTTTTTACTTCATTTATTCGATTGATCTTATAAATGTATGGATAGGTCAGAGGTTTTGGGGCGAATATGTGGTGGTTTTCTAATACCTGTTAATCGGCTTTTGTGATTTTTGACATTGGGACGCTGCACAGCTTACTATGCTTTTCACGTTTTAGTCGTTCTGTTCATAATAGTCTTCAAACAATATATCTGGTGTCAATGAGATTTGTGGTAGCGCAAAAGACCGTCTCTATAAGATCCGACATCGGTTTGGCGAGTGGAACAAAGGTTGTCTTGTAAAGAATCTATGAGAAGGTCTCTCTTAAATAACCAGTAAAGGGTTAACGAAGGACAAGAACCTTGTGGTGCTGCAAGGCATGATGGGTTTTTTCTGGTTTCATCAGGAAATAGGAGCCAGGATCAGCAAACCAGAATTGAAATGATAATTTCTTGAAATCGGTGATCCCAGGCCTTGCCCAGACTAACCCCATGGCAAGTTATGACTAATCGCTTTGCCCACAACCCCGTGGTAAATCTCCCATTGGCCACAAGTGCACATGTATATGCAAAAAGTGTGTGTAAACTATATGTGATGCTGAAATTTGTTTTCGAATCATGTAACATATTTGTGATGATTTGGTTGCTTTTATGTCGAGATTTGAAAACTTAAAACACTATTTACTGAAGTATTCCCGGACCTCTGACCTACTTTCTGTTCACCAGGATGTGAATCTTGATGAATTGGAGACCAATCATATTGTCCTCGTCCACGGAGGTGGTTTTGGAGCCTGGTGTTGGTACAAAACGATTGCGCTTTTAGAAGAATGTAAATTCAGAGTTACGGCGATTGATTTAACTGGTTCTGGAATTGATTTGTTTGACACTAATAGCATCAAAAGTCTTTCACAGTACGTGACACCACTCACGGATTTCCTTGAAAAGCTTGCAAATGGAGAGAAGGTTGATTTCTTATCTATTCATGTCTACAGTCTTTTAGGCCATGTTTGGAAACCATATTGAGCTTATTGAAAAAGACCCGTTTGAGCGGCCATAAACTATCTTATAGGCTAGTTTATGCTAACTTTTTGTAACGCTACTTGAAGTAACGTTCAATAAGCCCCATGGGATTTTTTCCACTTTTTTCTAATTATTCCCCTTATATGTTTTCAATTAATCTTTCAATATTGTCTTCTAGCTTATCAACTAGTTCTTACCAAACACTACTAGTTATCAGTTTGCTCGGCCAACAACTAGCTTGTCAGGTAGTGTTGCCCAACTTAGCCTTATATTGCTGCTTTTTTGAGAATGAAGTGAAAGTAGATCGTACAATGGGCATCTTGGCTTAGATGTGGGCCTAAATATTTTCTTGAAGTTATGAGATTGAAAAGTAAAGAAGGCATTGAAAATAAGCCATGATTGTAGCTCTCTTTGGGGATAGGAAGTTCAGACTAGGCTGATTAGCTATTTAAAACATCAAAATGGATCCGCAAATTTAACCACAAAGGGGGGTTAGAGTGATGGATAAAGACAAGGGGATGATTGAGTTCGAATCCTGCCATCCACATATGCGCTTGTGGTCACTGGGAGATTTGCCTCTATGGGCAAAGCCTACAATCATGACTTGCCATGGGATCAGTCTCGACGAAGCCTGGGATCACCCATTTCCAAGAAATAGATCCGCAAATGAGCTGAATGTAGGACCATTTGAAGGTACTTGATGCATTCAAAAATTTCCCTCGGTTGAAGATGCAACTTTTGTTAGATTTAGCTTCCATATTGGAGCAAATTTTCTTTGTTCCATCGGAGATGGGAAATAACCACGGGTTGTTTGGTTAGTTTTTTATTAAGTCCTGTATGGATGAAGTTGTCTATATAGATTGGAAAAGTTTTTGTTTGAGATGGTTTTTTCATAGATGGAAGGAGTGTTTTTCTAATTAGGAGAGGCATGTTTGGAAAAAAAAACTTGCTTTCTGCATAAATCTTCCCCTACAAACTTATTGAATAAGGCACTTTCTATGCCATTAAGCCACTTCCAAGCAGTTATGTATAACTGATTGAATGAGTTGTGAGTCCCATGAGTCCCATTAAGCTCAATAAGTTGATAGGTTCGGTGGAGGCCTCAAGGAAATCTAGTTAGCATCTGCAATTCACATTCCAATTATATTTTCCGTCTTCAAAATCATTCCCGTTCTCTATTCATGCAGGTGATTTTGGTAGGCCATGACTTTGGCGGTGCATGCATATCATATGCAATGGAGCTATTTCCATCTAAAATTGCGAAAGCTATCTTTATTGCTGCTTCTATGTTGAAAACTGGACAAAGTACTCTCGATATGTTCTCCCAAAAGGTTTGGCCCTCGATCCATAATTATTCTACCATTTTATCTCCATCTTCCAATCCATAGGGGATTAAGATGTGTGAAACTATGTGAAACTTGGCTTAAATTTAAGTTGGAAGCCTTACAAGTATGTTCCATAATAAAAAGGTTAAACTTAGCTTATTGAGTGATCATGAGCAACTTTGAGCTTATTGAAAAATGTCCGTTTGATCAGCCATAAGCCAGTTTATAAGCTAACTTTTTGTAAAACTACTTGAAGTAACGTTTCGATAAGCTCTATGGATTTTTTTCCACTTCTTTCCAATTATGCCTCTTATATATTTCCAATTAATCTTTCAACATCATCGTCTAGCTTATATGTTAGTTTTTATTAAGTAGGGGTTGTTTGGTTGGTTTTCCATTAAATCCTGTATGGATAAAGTTTTTTGTGTGGATTAATCTCTTTGTATAAATAGTGAAGTTTTATTTGGGAGGGGTTTTCCATTGATGGAAGGAGCGTGTTTTTTAATTGGGAGGGACATGTTTGGAAAAAACTTGACTTTCTGCATAAAGCTTCCCCTTAAAGCTTATTGAATAAGCCACTTTCTATATCATTAACACACTACGTAACATTCATGTAGTATAGCTGACCTAATAGGTTGTGAGTCCCATCTCATTAAGCTGTAAACAAATAGGCCCTAAATTCTTTTTGGAACAACCAACAAACTAATACATTGATGTCCCGGGAGTATAAATTATATTATTAACAAAGTATAAATTATGTTGCAGGAAAATACAAACGAGCTCATGCGGCAAGCTCAAAAGTTCCTCTACGGAAATGGGAATAATTTGCCTCCAACTGCAATAGATCTCGACAAAATGCTCTTGAAGGACCTATTATTCAATCACAGTCCCGCCAAGGTACGACCCACTGTTGATCCTCTATCAACTTCAAGCTTTCTAGTATCGACTTCATATCAATGCATAAACTAGTTCACAATGGTATCAAGTTAAAACGAGCAACCTTGGATAGTTTAGTGCATATACTGATAAATCTAACGGAATATATATGCTCTTAGGGTGCGTTTGGTACACTGAACATGTTAGAACATAATAGGAATCACTGCTCCACATTAGTGAGGATTTTATATGGAACATACAAGAGCATAATGGAACGGGCGTGTTCCACCCCCACCCCATGGAACAAGGCGGAAAATATTACTAATATAACCTCAAAATAAACATAATACTCGTTCTAAAACATCAAATATGGTTCCCACTTTATATTTTCTTTATTTTCTAAATTTTATTTATTATATTTTATGTTCGTTTTCGTGAGGAATCCCCTGTGACGCAATCCAACGAAGTTGCTACTGATTTATTTTTTCCACCTCTGTGGTCCTAGCCTTATTTTTCTTACCCTGAGCCTTCCTCCTAGAATATGTGAATTCAGTTGGTGGGGGCATGCCATAATATAGAAAATCTATTATAATAAAAATTATAAATTATATACACTTTTTATTTTAGTGTCATTTTGTTTGTTTTGACGAAATTTTTCTAACGATATATTTTGTTATAAAAGTATTTATTTTATTATAACTTAATAAATTACATAAATTAATCAAAATATATAAAAGATAACAATTCATTTAGGTGACTTTTGGTTCGTAAAATGTTTTTGGATGCAATGAAATATGTGAAAGAAATTTAACTTTAAAAGAATTGGAATGAATTATGAATGTTGTCATGTTTGACCAATTGTTTGCTTGACATAATTGGAATGAAATCTATTAAAGGAATTGAAATATGTCTGTTTGATTTACATAATGGAGTTTTGGAATTAGATTGAAATTCTGGTAAATGGCTAAAATACTCTTTTTGTTAAATTTAACTTTTTTAAAACTAAAATTGCTTTAATAAAGTAATTATTAATTACTTTAATTTTCTTAAAACTAAAAATACTTTAATTTTTTAAACTAAAAATACGTTAATGTAATTGGAATATGTTTTGATTTACAGAATGTAGCTTTGGAATTAAATTGAAATTCTGGTAAATGACTAAAATACTATTTTTGATAAATTTAACCTTTTTAAACTAAAAATGCTTTAATAAAGTACTTATTAATTACTTTAATTTTCTTAAAACTAAAAATACTTTAATTTTTTAGACTAAAAATACTTTAATGTGTAAAACAATATAAAATACACAACCCATGTACAATCATAAACCAAATGGCGTTACTAAATTGACATTAAAATTGTTCCAAAATTTATCAAACATGTTCAAAATACTTACATGTCACCTTCATTAAACAATCCTACATATGACACAAAACTACCAAAGCATGTTCAAATACATGCTCCAAATAGTTCTAAAAAAAGAGCTAAACCATCAAGCACAATCATTCTTGTAAAAGATACCTCACAAACTCTTTTCGAGCTTCTCCTTCATAATTTCAAAAACTTAACACGGATTCGAGTTCACGTGTTATTTTTCAGAGTGCTGCAAACTTTTCCAATGAAGTAAGATTCATTTTAGAAAATTCAGAACCAACCACAAAAGTATTTTGATGTAAAGGTTTGAAATGGGAATTTCAAATCTTAGAACACCATTTTGGATTTTGACAAAATTTCGGAAAAAGTGGTACTTCAAAAAGTCCTTAGGCGGCTATTTTTACTATTTTCCAAGAAGTTGGCTAATTGGTGATTAAAACCCCTCCGTAGAAGGCTATTTTAGTGAACAAGGGGTTATTATTACTTTTTTTTTTCTTCCAATTAAGCCCCTTTGAGTTTAGTTGTCTGTATGAGGGACGGAAGACCGATGAGGAGGGAGGCAAACATAGACAATTGGATTATTTCTGGGGTATTTAGGGTATTAATTAGTTTTTGGCCGACGGCCGCTTGATAGAAACAAGTGAAGAGTCTTGGCTTATTCCATATAGCCATTTTGGCGTAATGGTTTAATGATTAAGCCGTAAAGAAACAATCATGTATAACTGAGCCAATAAGCCTCTCAAATTAAGTTGTAAGTAAACATCCCCTAAGCCTGATAAAACACAGTTGATTCATCCTTCGAATCGTCAATCTTTTTGGCATGTCTTATGATACCACATTCGTTTCTTTGTTGCAGGATGTTGCGTTAGCTTCCGTCTCAATGAGACCAATTCCATTTCCACCTGTTCTCGAGAAGCTCTCTATTTCCGACTCAAACTATGGGTCGGTCAGACGGTTCTACATAGAAACTCCAGATGACAACGCCATTCCCGTCACTCTACAAGAGAGCATGATAAATGAAAGCCCGCCTGAAAAAGTTTTCCGCCTCAAAGGTTCCGATCACTCCCCTTTCTTCTCAAAGCCTCAGGCCCTACATAAGTTACTAGTCGAAATCACAAAAATCACATAAAATTTGCTCCATAAATCACCCTTCCCGTACATGGTCAAGCGAAACAGCACATACTCCCTTCAATGAACTTTCATCTTAGATATTTACAGTTGGTAGGTAGGTAGTGTGGGAGTTCCAGATCGGCTAGACACAATATTTTTCTCTCATTTATATATGTTGAAACCTCTTTGCTCTCTAACTGTGTTCTCAATACCTTTTTTAAGGAAAAGGAAAAAAGGGAGGGAAAGAAATGGAAAATAAAAAAACCCGTGTGTTCTCTTTAACTTTTATGACAAAAATACCCTTCATTCCGCATCCTATAAAAAATACGAATAAAAGAACTTTCTTCCCTTTCCATTTCTTTCTTTTCTTTTTTTCCCAAATTCGAGAAATGCTCTTTTTTCTGTCCCCGGAGGATAATATCAACCACTTGACGTCCATCCGATGCATCCGCTATGGTTATTTCGTAGGATAGGTAAGTATTCAAAGGGGGTTTATACATTTTAACATGGTATCAGAGTCCTTTTACCGAGAGAGAAAATCGAGGTTCCTATATATATATTTGATGGTTCGTGTCTCGTGAATTTGGGGCTTCAACGGGTAGCATGATTTTGAGCAGCTGTGTACATGCTGCATGTTCGATTCAGATTTCTTTCGTGAATTGTAAAAGGAACGGGGGCAATGACTACCTGTAATAAAGCACACAGGCTAATACGCCATACGACGAAGTGAGATACGACAACTCTTTTTGAAAGTCATAGTAATAAGGACCGTAGTTTAAGGAGAGGAACGCTCGATGCGCCCCATCGCCTTCCAATAAATCTGAATGACTGATAAGGAGTTGCTACAAAAATGAGCAGTTTTGGAGGTAATATTCACAGGTTTACATTCTTGGTATCATGTAATAAAGAGATGATGAATCAGATGTTTTAGATTTTAGAAAGCTGGTAGTATGTATCTTCATGTAAATGCTGAATCATAATTGGAATCCAACCGCATTAGGTGTCGTTTACTAAATGTTTGCGGATAAGTGCTTATTGGGTGAGTGTTACCTTACAGAGAATCTTAATATGTAGAGGCATAACAAACTAAAAGGTCGTTGACCGAACGCTTGTTGGCAAGAGCATCACCCTCATTTACCTTATCGGGTAACGTTCTTTGTAATCAAAACAGATTGTTGGTATGCCTCTTAAATTTGGTAAGCGCTTACCGGGTAAGACTCTTGGTCCTTGCTATGCCTCTTACTGGGCAAGATTTTCGGTCTATACCATGCACAATCGGTAAGATCATTGATATTGGTAAACACTTACCTGGGAAGTGTTTAGTAAATTGCTTCTAAGAATCTTAGCGGTTATAAGTGAGGGAAAAGACCCTTACCCAGTTAACACTTACCGGATAAGATTACCAACAACTCATTACTATCTTTTTATTGGACAAAATGGTAAAAACCATGTCTTATTAGCTTCTTAACACTCTCTTATTTCTCTAAAACCAATATAAAATTTTGGAACACTAAAAAACTAGAGAAATATAAGAAACTCGAGCTTTATGACTTGTACCATCAATGACACATTTAATGGCTGAGAAGACGTACAAGTTTTAATAGCAAAAAACATGGGTATTATTAACAAAATAACGACATCTTAAAAAATAAGACATTATTTTAGTAAGCATTTATGTTTTTTTGTATCTGTTGATAACAGTTTCTTAATAATTAATACAGTTAATGCTCGATAGCAAGTTTTAACAACTCAAAATCGTTTTCTTTTTGCCCGACATGATGTCATATTTGTAGGTCCATCGTGTTGAATACAAGGTATATTATATCTAGTCGACCTACAAGTATAAATAGTATAAAGGCGATTTTAAATGAACCCCTTCATTCGATGTTTAAACCCTTCTTTACTAATTTTGTCATGAACTCGGTTTTCTTTTTTATACTATCAAATGCTTCGTTTTTGACCCAGAAAGAGATTCAAATAAACCATAAGGGTGGTGTCTGATTGGTTTGAACTTGGGCTCCAAAGGTTAAAATTGTCTAAAGGCCTCAGGTTTAAATCCAAGGAGGATTAAAAATCCCACTGTGGTCACATAGGTTCAAATACGGTGACTCTGAGCTACATTTGCAGGTGGTCGTCCTGGAATTAGTCAGCTCGCATAACAGGTTCCGGGTTGGATATCCAGGTTAATTAAAAAAAGGAGATTCAAATAGCAATGTCGATAAATATACTTGTCTTATTAAAAAGATCTGGTTAGATTGATTGACTTATATTTTAATAGAATCCACTAGCTACGATACTTTAATGACAGAAGAAGACGATATTTTTTCACTTTAATGTTAACTGAGTCACGAAACTTGAAGAAGATATCACTAAAACCATCAAATTTTAAAAATTGATTATTTTGATCAGAAGATGTAATAGCGATGAAGTTAAATGATTTTTATAACAGTCTTCGAAGTTAAATAAGTTATATAATGATTTTCAAATATTACTGGGTTTAGTAAGAAACAGGTTTATATTTACATCACGGCAATGTCGTGTTCGTGAGACCAAGGGCTTTTCGTGACGAAATTACAGTACATATCAATTACAGTATGATATTTATAAAAATGATATTTTTTTTTTCTATTTTGAAGAATCTGTTAGAGATTTTTTTAATGATTTCAGCGAAAATAAATACAAGGCCTTGATTGTTTTTTTTATAAAAAAACTTTTATCAGCTTCTTAATCGGTCATTACCAAATCAAACCTCACGTCTCACAATTAATGTATTTTAATAGGATTTACATGTATTAAATATCGTTTATGACATATTTTCGTTTAAATAAAATAATAATTATATGATTTAGATGTAAAATTCGTAACGACGATGAATAAATATGTGAAATTGTATAAATTTATTTATAAATTTAACACTATAATTTTTTAATGGATAAAATAGACAAATTAAACAAATTCATACGTTTATCAATTTATAAAAACAAACAATCTTATTGATTTAGATTTCAAACTTTAACACCTCTTATAAATCATAAATAAATAAGATTTCAGATTTTAGCCGCCGTTAAAAAAACAAACGCGAACTAAATATTTTGTAGCTATATATATATGAGACCGTTGAAATTTTAAATTCAAATTCAAAATGGAAGGGTATTAATATCCTAAACAACTTACCATTTCATTCAACCGCATGTAAATTTAGCAAATTCCCCATCCATTCTCACATTTAAACTCATTCATTTCCTTCTCCAATTCCTTGAATCTCGACTGCTTCCATCTTCCTGCAATCGCAACTTGTTTGATTCGATCTACACGAATTCAAGGTATGTATGTTAAATTATCTTCGGTGTTCGTAATTTCTTCAATTATTTTTTTCCAGATTTTGTTGTTTATCCAGAGGATGATCTGTGATCTCAATTGACGTAGAAAGCATTCGTCTTAGATCCATACGTTTATCTGTTTAATTTCGTCATATTATATACTTTTTCCGATTTTGTTGTTTTTGCGGAATCTGCTGTCTGAATTTCTTTATAGCATATGCTTTTTCCAGATTTCGCTGTTCATCTAGATGAATGCTTGTAATCTGCTGTTTAATTTCTTCATATCATTTATGTTTTTGAGATTTTGTCTTTGTGATGAACAGTTGTACTCTAAATCGATGTAGGACTGCATTAAAATTTAGATCTACTATTTGATCTGTCTAATTTCTTCGTTTTAGTTAATTTCGTCAAATTTTTTCTAATTTTGACGAAGAGATCATAGTCTAGATGCTGACTAGTGGATCGATTCCTTTGATCTATCAAGGAAATGACGAATGGAATTGAAATAAAATCTCAAAACACATAGTTGACATCGAATTGGAACTTAGAATTGGATTAAATACATGTACTTTACGACTAAATACTTCCTACTGATGTGTTATATTCATTTGTACAATTTGAAAATGATGCGAGGGATATCAGAGAATGGGCCGAGGTGAAAGCTGTGGCGGTGGCCAGAGTTCTTTAGGCTACTTGTTCGGGAACGGAGAAGGTGATGGCAACGCTCCACCACCGCCTGAAAACCCAAGCGATGATGCAACCACTGAGCCTTCTAAGACAGAACCTTCTGATAATAATAACAGCACTGAAACCGATCAGCCTTCTGAAAAGCCTCCTTCTGAATCTGTTAATAAAATCAACCAGAATCCAGATCATGATAGCACAACAAACAATTACCACAGGGCAGATGGACAGAACTGTGGCAATTTCATCACAGTATGATCATTTACAATTTTCAAATTATTTTAATCTCCGAAAAACCCTCTATCTATCTGATTCTCTGATCTCAGTTATGTTTGTGTATGATCTGTTTCAGAATCGGCCTTCAACCAAGGTCCATGCTGCTCCTGGTGGCAGTTCTTCCCTTGGTTACCTCTTTAGCGATGAGAAGAAATGATGGCCTTGCTTTTGTGCATGTGAGGTACGACCCCTACTCGATCGCTTGTCCACAACTAGTTAAAGATGCTATCGAATCCGAATTACAGTTTATTTGCTGTCAAAATCATGTACCTTTTCATGCCTTGTAACTTGCAAGCTAGTATACCAATGATCTCTATGCAAGAATTGCTGCACATTTGAAGCAGTGTTTATAAATAATTATTGCTTAACAGAACTTCAAAGAATAAACTCTAGAACCAGCATTGCCTCCCTGGTCGCATTACGATCATGGGCGGATCCACAATGGTGCATACTGTGGCACAACCCATTTCGTTCCACCGTCACCATATTATTTTGTTGGGTATAACCGTATATTTCTTGAAACTACTATATTAACACAAGTTTTTATCTTGGTAGAGTTGGTTTACATGTCTTTTCCCCCCTTCCACGCACAAGGTTTGAATCCCATTTGTACCATTTTCTTACTTTTTTAACTTTTACTTTCTGGTTTATTTTATTTCTGAAAAAAATGGAATAAAAGATTAAAAACCTCACCAACAAAATTACCAACAAACCAATAATGATTTTCTAAAAATATCCATGGCTTCCTTTTTTACAGTCAAATGATGTCAACACTTGATTTTTTTTGTCGGCCTCTACTTACGATACAATTATCTCTCTTGTTTTTAATAGTTTTAATGTTTGATTTAAATTTATACACTAGTTTAATCAAAACAGTGAACAAAGACCAATTATGGGTCAAGTACTCAAGTACACAATTTGTACACTATTTTGGTGCTACAATAGTTTTTGTCCTATTTCATGTGTGTACCAAATATGAAACAATGAGTTTTGTCTTGTCTCACCTCGTCCCGTCTCGACAAACACAATCTAAAGGAATTTAACTCCTCCCCATTACTTCTTTTAAACTCAAACTCTCGACTGTTGTTCAAGTATACTACCTTGAAACCAATTTTGATATACTGGGAGGGTATCCCGAAACATGATACCATTATGAACAGGGTGCACAAGAATCCGACCAACCCAACCCATCTCAACCTAATCAAGGTGTAAAATTTTAAAACCGTAGGTATTTGGTTGGAATTGGGTTAGGTTTATTTGAACCCAACCCAAACTGATGCATTTGATACATTTCTATTTCTTGGATTTAATATGATTTTTAAGTCCTTATTAATATGTATATTAGATCATCACGCCATCACCATCTTCATATTCATATGCTTTAAATTTATTCTCCATCTTTATATTACTCATTCATATATATGTCGAGTCATACTTATACAAATTAAGAAATTAGTTCAATGTGAGCAATATGGATAAGCCGTACCAATTGATTGGTGATGAATAAAGAAACACCATATTCAAAAATCAAACATAATTGAGTATTTTTGATATACTAAAGTTTCAACCTGATTAACCCAACTCAACTCGTATAGTTTGAGGTTAGGTTGGATTGAGTTGAGATTTTTTAAACGATAAACATCAGGATGAGTTGTTCAAATGTCTCTAACTCGATTAACCTCTAGTGAAGGATGGTTCAGTTAGCACAAGAAAATGTTTATTGTTTTTTTTTAGCATGACCCAACATATATTCATGGTGTCATCTAAATACATGAATAAAGGACTCTATGCAATAAAATCAATGTATTTAATATTTTGAACCATCACTAAAAATAAATAATAAATAAGTAAAAAAAAAAAAAGATTAAAACAAGAAATGTTTGAAACAATTACAACACAAAACAAAACTATTATTTTATTTACATCATACATTCTCAACAGTTGAAGGAAATGTACTCGGATTAATATAGTTTTTATTTATTTTTACGTTGTATTTTCAAAATTGCAAAGCATTTACAAAAAGTGAGAAATGATTGATGGTAAGAAATGAGAATAGTAAATGAATATATGGTTTTTAGGGACCAACTTAACACATCTTCAACCTTAGCACAAACCATTTTTCTTTCACAACGGTAATGAATAAAAGCAGATGATTACGCATAAGGAAATGATTCATCAGTGAATGGGAAATTAAGGAAAGTAGCTATTTTTAGGGACCAAATTCATTTCTCAATCATTTTTTTTTCAGAAAATTTTAAAATATCATTACCCCCGCAAATGGTACCTCTTTGACTTGCGGAAGAGCTAAAAGACAATTTCTTCTTCACTTTTCACCCAGATCCGCAAATGACACCTCTGCAAGTGGAAGAAAACTGAAGAAAAAAAATTCAACTCTCACCCAGGTTCGCAAATAGCACATTCACAAGTGGGTGAAAGGTGATTTTTTTTGTCTTGTAAGTAATGATATTTTTGAGAATTCCAGAAATAAATGACTAAGAGACAAATTTAATAAAACGGGTATTTATTTTAATTTCCATTACTAAGTATTAGGTAATCATTTCCTCTTTAATTTATGAGATTAAATTTATCATTATTCATTTAAGGAAAATTGCATGAAAAAATAACGTATTTTAACTTGATTTATATTTTGGGTAACATATTTTCAGACTTCCATTCTGGTACCTAAAATGTAAAGTTTTAAACATTTAAGTATCTGGGTAACTGGTTGAAACATTAACCGGTTATCATGCTGATGTGGTATCCAACTCAGTATTATTTACTGACATGGTTAGTGACATGATTTTTTTTAATCTAAAATTAGTTTTCAACCGGTTACCCGGATACTTAAATGTTTAGAACTTTATATTTTAGATACCAAAATGAAAGTTTTAGAAATACATTACCCAAAATTAAAATCAAGTTAAAATACATTATCTTTTCATACAATTTATCTTTCATTTATTGCCCAATAATTTTCACTTTCACTTTCTTGATTTTAATCGAAATAGGAACAAAACAGAAAGTCACCTTTTGGTTTTCTTTTGGTTAAGTTTTCACAAACCCATTTTCAGAAAACTTATGAAATTGAAGGGGTAAATCAGAAAGCCACCTTTTGGTTTACCTTTTTCATATGTGCAATTAAAAATTAAATTTAATTATTTAAAAATCAAAACAATCATAAATATAGTTTTCTTAAAAACAATTAAATAATACTTAAAAAAAACAATAAATAATCAAGATATATGTCAAAAGTTGTCTAAGGGGCTGTTTGACAGACGCTGAATGGTTTGATGTGTGATGATAAAATGATCAGAATGATTAAGAGGCTTTTATGATATGGTGCAAAATGAAATATAATTGTTTGGTAGTTGTTTACAATGAAATTAGGGCTCTGAATGATTAAGGAAGACCTATGATATAAAACCATTCAGAAGCTTTTGAAACTATTAAGAGATAAACTTTTTTTTTACCAAACAAGATTCATCTCTTAACAATTCAAAGGTTGCCTCTTAATGAAACTATTAAGAGGTAAACAAACAATCTCTAATTATTGTAATTTTAAGTGTCTAATTATCTAACAATTTCATAGATCACAATAATCATTTTTAAAACATAAATATAAATAATTGGTTTTAGACCCACGTATATAAATAGTCCAAGATCTATCCGAATAGAGTTGTCACTTAAAAAGCAGGTAAAAACGATGAAGTAATTGATGCATTTTCAAGGTTTGATTTCTTGAAGGTTTCGGTATCCATTTGTTCAAGGTAAACTACTAATATCCAAACTAAAACTTCGAATTGATGAACGGGTATTAACTGATTTGTATTTATAAGTCGATCAGTCTAAAAGATTTAACCAAAAACGACAAGGGAATACTTGATTTTAACCGTCACCAATGTCATGATGTTGATTTGGTAAACCGAGATAAAAAAAAATCCACACAAAATTTAATTTGAAGCAGTAAGGTTAAATAAACTGATATAAAGTAGTTAAAATTATCATGCATATCGTTTATGTAACGAAATTGGTTGAAATGAAGCTTGATTTTATATGTTCACGGAGTTGGGTTAAGATTCAGATAAAAGTCAGTAAAGTTTACAAAGTTATCTGAAATGATTCGATATTTTAAAAGCAGTTTAAAAAGTATGAAATATGAAGAGTCAAAGTGTTTATCCACTCGTTGGTAATATATTTCTTGCAATTTTTATGTTATTAATTATGATTAATCATCGTTTGTTCATGCTTGTTTATCAGTAAAAACACTTATATTTTGTGCCAGTATGATTATTGGCCTAACAGATTGAAAATAAGAATGTTTTGTAAGACTGAACTTAAACGTGATGTTTCAAATGAAATGCATGAGATGAACAGCCCTTTCAACGTGAGAACGAGTCTTTGAGTTTAAACGACACAGATCGTTATAACATCCATGTCGAAAAATATTACAGTATTTATAAACGTTGTTTGCACGATGCGCGCTTTTATGGAATCATTTGGAAATTCCTCACATAAATTTGTTGATTCGCCACCACTTACACGTTAAACCTTACGAGAATAAGAATTCAAATGCATCAGTTAGCGAAGCAACTTTCAACGTCTTATCTAAGCGAGATGGCTTGGATCAATTTATAGTTTCAGTCAGGTGATATCATTTGGTCGATGAGATTATACTGTATTACCAAAGGGTTTTTAACCTAGCAGTATCGTAGTCTTTCGCCTCCTAGGAGGTCTGGGGTTCAAACCTCACCAAAGGTGAGGAAAATGTGTGAGTTTATTTGTTACATTTGTCGTATATAAATATTATATACTTTAAAAACATATTATACTGTATTTATACGTAACTATATATCATGTTAACAAACAATTTATAAGTATCTACTGTTACCAATGAAACATTCACAATCATTCATTTTGTATGATTTGAATAAAAGTTGCGTAAATGCAAACTCAACTACGCAGATCAATTTTGAGGCGAAACAGACCTCCATCCAATAACAGGTTGCTGTAGACTCTCTTTATCTGGTGTTTAATAAAATATTTCGAAATGGGGAAGAAGAAGCATTTGGACTGGACAAGTCGGTCAATTATATGTTCTGGAGGCGATAAATTTCCATTCATGAAGAAGAATGTAAGACTGTATTTTTAGCTTCTTGATCAGTCATGCATCTTTCCATTAATCTACTCCAACTGATATATCTGAAAATAAATCACTTGTATTATATTTTATGTCAGCTCTAACAAAACTAATTATGTAAAAAAATAAAATAACTTAATTACCACGATGTATAAACTTTTCACTGAACAGTTAAATTATTGATTGTTATAACTTTAAACAGAAGAAAAACAACCAATCACTGTTTTTTGCTTGACATCTTATTACAACTGATTATTTGATACTGATTATATAATATCATATAATCGCTGTTTTTTCAGGCTTATGGTTTATTTCAAGGAATTTTTTTTAACTTTTTTGGTTGATATCGACTGACTTTTCAGTCTTTTCGTTGATTTCAAATGACTTTTTTTGATTGATTTTGACGAGTTTTTTGGCCTTTTAGTTGATATTTCTTGTATTTTTTAATACGGGTACGTTGAACTGGACCCACGGGTGGTCCACCCCTTGATATTTATTGCATGCCTCATTTTTAACAATTTTAGACAAATGAGGTTAATCTTAGGGGCTTGATTGGTATGAAATCAAAAGTATAGGGACCATAAATGCAAATACAAAGTTGGATTTTGCGAAAAATTCTTCAAATAATAAAAAACGACATGCATTTATTATATTCGTTTTACGTGACTCTGATCAAGGGTCAAAATCCAAACGAACATTCGACTTTGGGGTTTGTCAATGTCTTCTTGATCAAGCAAAATCAATTATTCCCGATAAACCTCCATTAACAGCTTCTTGCAAGCTCTGTGTTTGTTTATCAGGGTCTATTGAAATCTTGTGAAATGGGGAAGAAGAAACATTTGGATTGGACAAGTCGATCGATTACGTCGTCTGGAGATGATAAAGTTCCTCTAATCAGAGATGTAAGATTATTCCCTTTTTGATTCTTAAAATGTCTGTTTTCAATTGCATTTCTTGCTGTATCCCCAATTTGTATCTGAATTTAAACCTAAAATCATGGGGTTTGTTAAGTGTTTGTTCTTGAGTTGGATTAACTTCGAGTTTAATTTGATCATGGAAGAAAACAACCACTTAAACAAAAAGCTCTTGTGGTTCTTGAAAGATTACAAGAAGTTTTATCACTTTTGGTTCCACGAAGTAATTCGTAGTTCATCATGGAAAATTGGTTTTGTTTGTTTGGTTGGTTTTCCTTTTTATGTCCGTAGTTTATGTGGATTAATCTGTCTGTATAGATAGAATTTTTTTTGTTTAGGATGGTTTTTTCATAGATGGAATGAGCTTGGAGAGTCATGTTTTGAAAAAAGTTACTGAATAAGTCACTTTCTATGTCATTAAGCCACTGCCAGATAGTCATGTATAGCTGAGAGAATAAGCTGAGCTGTGAGTCTTGTTAAGCTCATTAAGCTGCTAATAAACAGGCGCTTGGACCTAAAATCCTAATGGGTTTCACATATTTTTTACATGATATCAGAGCAGGTCTATAACTAATGGGACTCGACACTTTGGGGTAATCTGTATTTGTCTAGTCCCCTCTCGACACTCTTGGATAATGTGTGCCCATCTAGCCTCCATGTTGGCAAGAGTTGGACTATTTGTGCTCCATATTATGTTGGAACACCCGCTCTTTTGGAGATTATCAGAGCTACGTTTATGACTCTAGGGACTCGACATTCTTGGGGCAATATGTACTTGTCTAGGCCCCTCTTGACACTCTTGGACAATCTTTGCCTATCTACCCTCCATATTGGCAAGACTTGGACCATTTCTCCTCCATATTATGTTGGAATCTCGACTCTTTTCAAGAGTAATCTAATGGGTTTCACATATTCTCATATATTTGATTTTCTTGGAAGTGAACGGCCTTCTAAATTATGGTAATTATATTGTGTATCTATTATGGGATATTCTAGTGACTGGTGTTTGAGTTTTTAGTTAAGCATCTGATTTTCTGTAATCTAAAAACAGATATCGAGCCACATTCTGCTAATGGATTTAAGTTAATCTTGTTATTCTGTGTAAATTACAAGGAGTTTGTTCTTGAACCGATCACATTTTCCTTTTTGTAGATTTGGATTTCGTTTGTGATCATCTATAATCTTGTTTATTAATGTAAATTACAAGGATTTGTTCTTAAACCGATAGATTTCGATTTTGATTGTGATCTTTTTTTAATGCTTCATATATCTTTGTTGTAGAAAAAGATAAATGGTAATGATATCGGGCCATCAAATGATCCAGCAACTGATCTCGAGCACGGAGATGCAGTACAGGTGACCATTTGTTTCCGGTTTTCTATTTTTTAATTATTTATTTTCCTCAAGAAAATCTTGCTGAGAAACCTTATCGTTTTCGTGAATTTAGGCAGCAAATGTTGGGTTTTCCAGGGTTATACTTTTGGTAAGTACGCAATTGTGTAAGATGACAAGTATGTATATATATATATATACACACACACACACACGGGACCCATGTCATGGAATCAAATTGTAAGCTTTAACAATCATTTTCTTCTACTTACATTGTAGGCAAAGCCTGATGCAGGAAGACTCATTGTTGCTACTATTGCATTGTTGATAGCTTCAACCTCCAGCCTGCTTATTGTATGCCACTTTTGAGTTGGTTCAGTTATCTGAAAAAGGATTAAGGCTATGTTCGGCTGATAAGCTAGCTAATAAACCGGCTATCGGTTAATAAGCTAGATATCAAACCAACTGGCTATCGATTAATAAGCTATAAATGTCTAGTAAACTAGCTGATAAACTAGTTGTTGGTTGATAACCTAGCTAAGAAACTGGCTATCGGCTAAAAAGCTAGATATGTTTGATAAACTAGCTGTTGGATGATAAGCTAGCTAACAAAGTAGCCAACGGTTAATAAGCTACACATATGTTTGGTAAACTAGCTGTTGGCTGATAAGTTAGCTAACTAACTAGCTATCAGTTAATAAGTTAGTTATGTTTGGTAAAGTAGCTGTTGCCGGATTAACTCTATTGGTTAATAAGCTAGCCGTTAGCTGAAAAAGTAGCTATCGGTTAATAGGCTAGCTATGTTTGGTAAACTAGCTGATGGCTGATGAGTTAGTTGTTTGCTGAAAAACGATCCATTGGTTCATAAGCTAGTTAACCAAAAAATTAGCTATTAGTTAATAAGCTAGCTGTTAGCTGATAAGTTGGCTGATAAACTAGTCACTTTTGGTCTAAACTAGCCAAAAAGCTAAATGACAATGTAAAATGACATAAAATGAAAATATAAGAGACATGGTTGGAAAAAAGTGAAAAAAACAGCAGTAAACTAGGCTTTTCAAAAACCTAGCTTATGGCTTACCAAAAGGTGCATTTTCAATAATCTTGTATGCTAGCTTATGATCGGCGAGCATGGCCTAAAAACGATAAATTTGGTTTTAGCGAATTGTAAAGCATGATCTTGATGTTTTGTTGGTCAGCCATCATTTGGTGGGAAGATAATTGACATTGTGTCAAGAGATACAAGGACTCCTGAAGAGCAAACCGAAGCTCTGAATGCTGTTAAGGACACTATACTAGCCGTTGTGTTGGTGGTGGTTGTTGGGTGTGTTTATTTTCCCTCTAAATCCCCGATGAATTACTGCCAAAAACGAATAAACTGCTCTCTAGAGTACCGTTTCTATAATTATAACCTTTTTCTCTTAGTTCATTATCAACAGCGATCCGGGCATGGTTGTTTTCTTCTGCTAGTGAAAGGGTTGTTGCTCGTTTGAGAAAGGAGTTGTTCAGCCACCTTATGCATCAGGTGAGTACGTGTTGTTTATTTCCGTATCTATTTTATGAAAAAAATAGATCTTTCGGAATTTGAGTTTGGATTCAAGACAATTCAACAAATTACATGCAACTCGTTGTAGTCCCTAATCAAGTGGACTTGGACCATTTCTTCTAAATATGTGTTGGACTTTCGTTCTCTCCTCAAGGGCTCTTTTGGAGAGTAATCTAATGAGGTTCCACATATTCTCTCATGGTATCAGAGGTCTACCACTCTAGGGACTCGACACTCTTGGGACAATTTGTGCCCGTCTAGTGTTTGTTGGAGGGGGCGCGTTGGAGTCCCTCATCCGCTAGACTTGAACCTACTCTCCTCAATATACGTTGGAAGCTTCATTCTCTCCTCAAGGGCTTTTTTGGAGAGTAATCTAATGGGGTTTCATATATTCTCCTAAAACTATTGGTGCAGGAAATAGCCTTTTATGATGTTACTCGAACCGGGGAACTACTAAGTAGATTATCCGAAGATACCCAAATAATCAAGAATGCTGCAACTACTAATCTCTCGGAGGCACTACGAAACTTGACTACGGCATTTATTGGTCTTGGATTCATGTTCTCATCTTCTTGGAAGTTAACATGTAAGTTGTTTCTAATATCATTCACCTAATGATGTAAATGGGAGTAATCGATAACCAAACACACTTGGTATATCCCACTCAAAAGTAGGATCTGAGGGGTGGAATGCATGTAGACCGGGCCTCTACCCCAAAGAGTAAACCCTGGAGTAATTTACCGCTGACATCTTATTTTTGTGAAGTGCTGGCTTTGGTGGTTGTACCGCTAATATCTGTAGCCGTACGCTATTTTGGAAGGTATCTTCGAGAACTCTCACATGCGACACAAGCTGCAGCCGCAGTTGCTGCCTCAATTGCAGAGGTTAGTGTCTTCTATCAACCTCATTTTGGTAACCGTGGGTGTCCGGGCTAGTTTACGAGCACTTTGACTAATCCCATGAGGCCCTGAAAATACCAGCCAATAAAATCCACAGAGAAGACTCGAACTGGCGACCTATGGGGAAGAGCCCCAACCCCTAGCCTTCATATGAGTTTTGGTTGATTTGTCACATAAAATGTCTTGGTCTAAGCCGATGAAAAATTATGTGTAGGAATCTTTTGGGGCCATTAGAACGGTGCGATCATTTGCACAAGAATCTTATGCGATTTCAACCTACTCGGAAAAAGTTGATGAGACCCTAAAGCTTGGGCTCCGACAAGCGGTAAGTGTTTGAAGCATAGTGGCAGGTACATTTGAGAACCGTTAATATTTTGAGAACCATGAGAACCAACTATTTATGATGAATATCATGAACATTTATGAATAATCATGAATGAATGAAAATGCATGATTAGTAGTTGGTTCTTATGGTTTTCAAAATATTTGCGGTTCATATATGAACTTTCCACTTAAAGCATAATTTCATTTTTTTATTTTCAGATGTGCACAAAAGCTTTCTGAACTCCGAGAACCTTTCTTGTTCATATGACAGAAAATCACTGGTATTTTTTCTGGTGGTATGAGCGGAGCCTCAACGTTGTCTGTGATCACGGTGGTGATATACGGGGCTTACTTGACTATAACTGGCTCGATGACTGCTGGTTCTCTTACGTCATTCATTCTCTACAGCCTCACTGGTACAACTTTCAATTTCAACTCCTAAGAACGATCAACATTGGGATTGAACTTTCAAACCATCATCAAGATTTATACTTTAGGATGCATTTGTATGTATGTATAGGTTCAGGTTCAAGGGAAAACCGCAAAAAAATGAACAATTGAAGAACACCCTGGTTGTCATTCATCTGGACGGTATGCACATGTGCATACAAGTAATTTGTACGCAATTTGTCCTTAATTACTTGTATGCACATGTGCATACCATCCAGATGAATGGTTACCGGGGTGTTCTCAGTTTTTCATTTTTTGGGGGGTTTTCCTAAACCTCCCTCTGTATGTGTATATATAGGAGGTTCAAATAGGAAGGCTAAATATCGTGAGAAAGTAAGAAGGGAAGGTTCATATGTGAATCATCGAAAAAGTTCATTTGAATTTTGAAGATGCATATGTGAACCCATATGAATAATCTGTAACATCGGTTCACGTATGCATCTTCAAATGGATTTTTTCAATGCATTCACATATGAACCTACCCGTGACTTACCCTTCTTACCTTCTCATGATATTTAGCCTTCTTATTTGAACCGCCCCCTATATATATCTACTGCTTTGAGATTGTAAAGTTCCCCGATCATTACACTAGTTGAACTTCAAACTTGCAGTTGGCTCTTCCATATCTTCATTATCGGGATTATATGCAACTGCTATGAAAGCTGCAGGAGCAAGTAGGAGAGTTTTTCAGCTTCTAGACCGTGTATCGAGCATGGCCAAAGCCGGGAACCAATGCCCTGTGGGGTCCGTCTCACCTTTTTCTATCTTTTTATCATAATTGTGGGTGTCCGGGTCAGTTTGTCTACACCTTGACTAATTCCATGGGGCCTTGAGATAACAACGAGGAAAATCTCCAGTGTCCCCGAGGAGACTCCAACTAGCGACCTGTGGGGAGGAGCCCCAAGGCCTAGACTTTATTTGCCAGTTGAGCTGACTCATCTTTTTACTCCCTCCTTCCCGAATTAAATGTCCACAATGAAAAAGACATAGTTTCAGTAATGTGTAATCATTACATTTTTAATTAACAAAAAAGACATTTTTTGAGAGTGGATACTTGTTTTGGAACAAACTAAAATAGTAATATAGACACTTATTTTGGGATGGAAGGAGTATTTTTCTGCTTGTTATTTTGGCCTTCTGCTTAAACCAATCATATACGTAGTTAATGTTTGATTATGGTTTTAATTATAGCAATCCGGATGGAGATGTTGAGCTAGATGACGTATGGTTTGCTTACCCATCTCGGCCCAACGATATGGTACTTAAGGTAATAGATCTAGAAAAATCACCCCTTCTTTCTCTGATTGGCCAAAATCTTAACATACCACAATGCACACAACTTCGGACCCATGATTTTTGCCTAGCGGGTGCACCTTTACAGTGGACCACAGGCCCACAAAGTCACCCGATGTGTTTTTAGCCAAATTCCACCATTTCAAGGGATTTTATCAATTTTGATGTTTCTTGTATTTCCTAATATCCCTGAGCACCCCACAAAGTTTAGAAGGTGCACCTTTCATACCTCAAAAAAATCCTACTTACTAACATGGGTTGAGTGGGTGAACGGGACACCGCTCGGGCTCTCGTAGGTCCACCCCTGAATGCACAGCCGGCTCTTGGCTGTGTTTGGTATGCGGATGAGACTGGAGTGGACTGGAAGGAGGAGAGTAAGGCGGGTGAAAGAATTATGATATGTTTGTGTGTTCTAACAAAATTGTTTCTGATCAGGGGATAACGTTAAAACTGAGACCTGGTTCCAAAGTAGCCCTGGTCGGTCCAAGTGGTGGCGGAAAGGTATTATAAAGATCGCTGCTTTTGTGTTATGATACGTATTTAAGATCTTTGAGCCACCAAATCTTCATCATGTACATGTTTTTGATCAGACCACCATCGCAAATTTGATCGAACGGTTTTATGATCCGCTAAATGGAAAGGTTTTGCTAAACGGGGTTCCGTTACCTGAAATATCACACGAGTTTCTACACAGAAAGGTAATCTAATTGGCATATTTGATAGGTTACACTACAACAAAATCAGCTTTATAGGACTTCAAAAAATGTCTAAGAGGCTGTTTGGTTGGTTTTTCATTAAGTCCAGTATGGATAAAGTTGCTTGTTTGAGATGGAAGGTGCGTATTTTTTTAATTTGGAAAAAACTTGGCTTTCTGCATAAAGCTCTCCTGTATAGAAGCTTACTGAAGAAGCCACTTTCTATATCATTAAGCCACTACCAAACAGTCTAACCGAATAAGCTGTGAATCCAATTAAGCTGCTACAAGCAGGTCCTAAATGTCTTAATAGACGGCTTTATAAGACTTAAATTTATAGGACCAAACAATTGTGCTTTCTATATTAAGGTGTTACAATAGGATATTAGGACGTATTTGGGCATCCTAACAAATTTTTCAGAACACATTTTGAGATAAAGTGTCCTATTTGCTTTTTACAAGACACTTTCGAAGTTATCTTTTTATAGCTTATTGGCTAGCTTATCAACGATCAGCTGGCTTATCAGCCAGTTTGCCAAACGTAGCCTTAGACATATTTGACGTCCTATAAAGCCAATTTTGTTGTACAACTACTTCTCTTTCTCATTGCTTCCTTTCATATATTTGTGAAGACTGACTTGTGTGTTTATGTGTATTCTGCACTCAAGGTGAGTATAGTGAGCCAAGAGCCCGTTCTGTTCAACTGTTCTATAGAAGATAACATTGCATACGGGTTTGATGGCAAAGCCAGCAGCTCGGACATCGAAAATGTTGCCGTAAGCTTCTAGGCTTCGTTTCCGTTCTTTGTTTTTCAAATTGTTGGTGTCTTGAAACTCTACTAATTGAAATGGGATTCAACAGAAAATGGCAAATGCCCACGACTTTGTGTCGTCTTTCCCAGAAAAATATCAAACGGTGGTAGGCGAACGTGGATTGAGGTTGTCGGGAGGTCAAAAACAACGGATAGCAATTGCTCGAGCACTCTTGATGAATCCTAGAGTTTTGCTGTTGGATGAAGCCACTAGTGCTTTGGATGCCGAGAGCGAATATCTTGTTCAGGTGCACCCAACGCAAGCGCAAATGCTGACAACCATAAGCTAACTTATTTTTTGAGCTTATTGAAAAAGACCTGTTTGGTCGGCCATAAGCTAGCTTTTTTAAAAAGCTACTTCAAGTAGCGGTTCATTTAACTCCAAGGGTTTTTTCTCTCCCAATAATGCCGCTTATATTTTTCCAATTAATTTTTCAACACGTCCTTTAATGTTATTTTGCTTTGTCATCAGGCTTATCAGCTAGTTTTTACCAAACATGACTAGTTTATCGACTAACAGCTGATTTATCAGCAAGCTTCTGATGTAGTTTGCCAAACATATGTACGTTGATTCTGGTGTGCGTCGTATGAACAGGATGCAATGGACTCGTTAATGCAAGGAAGGACCGTTCTAGTGATCGCACACAGACTATCGACCGTCAAGAGTGCCGACACTGTAGCCGTGATATCTGATGGGCAAATCGCCGAAAGTGGAACTCACGATGAGCTTCTTAACATGGACGGAATTTACACTGCACTCGTAAGGCGACAATTGCAAGTTCCCAAAAACGAATCGTAGTTTTTGACCGTCATGGCAACGGTAAGATCCGAGGACCGATTGTTTCAGAAGCAGCAAGAAACAACATTTGCGTTGAAGGGGTTTTGTATACTATGAAATTATGATGATTTAGGCAAGCGGGATTCATAGAAATGGCTACTAATTGTTCATGACCAAATAGTCTATGTAATTGACATGATAAAAAACTTGCATGTTTTTGGAAATGAAACTGCGTGTTTGGTAGATTCTGAATGATTTGGTACATAATGAATAAGTGATCAGATGTATGATTTTGCAGCTTCGGCAGCTTCGGCAGCTTCTTGCTGTTTTGCTGCAAATTTAAGGCTTTTAACGACTTCAATCATCGACGGTCTTTCCGTTTTCTGGTCAGCCAAGCAACGATCGGCGATCTTGACGAACTCTTTCAAGCATTCTGGTGCTATTTTCCCCTTTAAACTTGGATCAATTGTCTTTAGAACTGTTCCTTTGGCAATATTACTCTTTACCCAGCTTTTTAAGAACACTTGATCTCTTTGAAGATTGTGATCTTCGAGTTTTCGGTCGCATAATACTTCTAGCAACACGAGACCGAATGAATAGATATCGGATTTTTCTGTTGGTTTAGTGCCATTTGCGAAAATATATTCGGGATCCAGATACCCGAAGTGATTGCCGAGAACGGTGGTGAGATGATCGGAAACAGCGTATAGCGGATTATCCCTCGAGAGACCATAATCGGAAATCTTTGCTACCCAATTTTCATCCAGTAGAATGTTTCCTGGATTGATGTTAAGGTGAAGAATGGGTTGCACACCAACTGTTTGAAGAAATGCCAAACCAAGTGCTGCATCGATGCAGATCTGTAGCCTTTGGTTCCAAGTGAGCGGATCAGTGATTTGGCTGCCGTAAAGACGATTCCGTAGGCTGCCGTTGATCATGTATTCGTAAACAAGAATCATCTCGGATTTTTTGTAGCAATATCCGATTAACGAAACTAAATTTGGATTCCGGAGCTGGGATAGCGTCTCAATCTCTTTGCAGAAATCCGACCAATTATCTGTCGTGTTCTTCTTCAACCGCTTAATGGCAACCACTTTAGTTCCGTAATTGATGTAACCTTTGTACACAATGCTGAAATGGCCGGTTCCCACAATGAGGTTTTCATGGAAATCATTTGTGGCAGATTGAATCTCGCTCAGAAGGAATCGAAGGCAAGAATCTTCGTGTGTTTTCGAGCTACTTACGGAGATAAAAGAGTCATTTTTGGAGGGTTTTACTCCATTCCAAAGCAAATCCCATCTCCAACTCTTCAATCTTTTTGGTTTCAAGCTTCTTTTACTGGCATTCAATGGTGATTTTGGAGAGATTATATATTGTTCTCCTGATCTTGGTGAAGAAGAGAAAACTGGATCTTCAGGTATGAACCAATCTGATCTTTCTTGCTGTTCTAATGCAAATTCAAGAACTGAGATTATGTTAACCATGGTTGGTCTTCTTTTCGGCCGATTTTCTAAGCATTTTTCCGCTAATTCTGTGAATATCTTCAGGCAATGAGGCGAGATTTCGTTTCTCAAATGTGGGTCGATAATCTGGTCGAGTTTACTGTCTTTGATGCTCTGACGTACCCATATCGCGAGGCTGCGTTGATCTTCCTCGAGCCCAGGATCGACTGCTGGTCTACCGCATAGGACTTCGAATAACACGACACCGAAGGCGTAAACGTCGGATTTTCTCGACAGCTTTCGGGATAAAAAGTAGTCGGGATCCAGGTATCCGACTGTACCCTTTATGTTTGTGCTGACGTAGGATTTCGGCAAAGATTGGGTTGATTTCGTGATCTCAACTTTCGATAGTCCGAAATCGGAAATCTTTCCGACCAGGTTCTCGTCTAGTAAAATGTTGGAGGTCTTCACGTCACGGTGTATGACTCCATGACGAGTACCTGTGTGAAGGTAGTCCAGTCCACGGGCTGCTCCTATGCATATTTTGAGCCGTTGGTCCCACGAGAGCGGCACAAAGTTGCTACTGTCGTCTGAGCTGAGCTTAAAAAGATGTTCGGCAAGGGTCCCGCACGGCATATACTCGTAAACGAGGATCATTTCATTTCCGTCATCGCTGTAGCCAATGAGGGAAACGAGATGATTGTGACGAAGCCTGCAAATCATTTGAATCTCCATCCAAAACTCGAGATCACCTTCATGTGATCTCGAGCTCATTCGCTTTATAGCGACCGTTTTCGTACCGCCATCGATAACACCTTTATACACCTTCGCAAATCCGCCCATGCCAATCACTAACGCCTCGTCAAAATTGCGGGTTGCGGAGGTTATGTCTGCTAGCGAAAACCGACGACATGGCTCGTCAGATGATGATGGTAAATGAACGTTTTTCTTCCCGAGCTTTTCTTCCCAAAACCGCTGAATGTACACAATAATGTTCAATGCTGTGATTACCATGATCGATTTTGTCGCAATTGCATTCAGGCTGCTGAAAGCCGGCAACTTCGGCATCCAAATTGACGACGAACGTGATTGAAATGCAGAATTCGAACCTGCAAGACTATCGTCAGGATTACTCAGCTTGAAAACCTCTAATCCGTTCAATTTTCCTTCAACCAACCCGCTCTTCGAAACTATGGCTACCGAAAGATCCGATTTCCCATCGGTTTTATCCCCTCTCATTGTTGTCATGTAGTCTTTATAGACAGCAATCCCATATCCACCACCTCATTTGGTAACCTCGGCGTTTCTCTCGGCTACCTGATCGTTAATGATGATTGCAAATTCTTTATGATTGATCTTAGACCTCGTGGTGGGTTCGTGTTGACAGAAATGGAGCCTTATCAGGTATCGGAATCCTAAATCGACCGGTAATTTCCATGTAAATCTTGCCGATTTCTTGCTGTTTGATGATCTTGATGTTTGATAAACCTTAAGAGGTGCAGAGAATGTTGGTATGTTAGTATATTTGATCATATTTGTAGCATGATATACCTGAAAGTTTTTGTTTTTCTCCAACAGGTAATCGGAGTCTTTCGACCATCGCCGGAACATACCCGTATCTTCGATCGGGGAAACGGGACTTCCACCAATGTTTAACCAGTGAACCGTCTCGAGGGCGGTGGTGTTGTCGATGTAGAACGTGTACCGGCGGTGCAGTCCGACGACGTTGGCTCCTGGTTCGCCTTCTGGCGTGTGATACAGGTCGGAAGGCATGGAGACGATTTCGATTCCGTTCACGAAAGCGTACGAGTTGCCATTGGTCCGAGACGGTGCAATCATTACGGTAAGTTCCCGGCTCTCATCAACGCTCACGCAGAACTCTTTCGAGAACGAGATCACAATTGCTGCTCGAGCCGCAAGCGAAGGACTGAACTCGTGTAGGAGCTTGTATGGTCCAACTCGAACCGTGAAGAGATCAGTAGCGGTCTCGAACCCAATGTAAGAAGCGGGATTGAAGTGTAACCGGACGAATTTCGGGCCAGGATGGAGTTTAAACGTGTAGAAAAACGGAGAACGTGAGGCTCTAGCTGTCAAATACGGAACCGGATCACCCGATAGAGACGTGTGGACCGCTTTTGTGGTCATCGAGTTACCGGCTTGCTTTCTCGAAAGACCGAATCTGGTTCCGATATCGCCGGTCCATTCCCGACCATCGAGTGCTGATGAGTTTCCAATCGATCCACAGTTAACAGCAATGTCGTCAATTGGAAAGTACGGAGCCGGTAAGTTCCCGGCGACACTGAAAACGAGATGAAGGATGAACACACAGAAGAGTGGATTAAGACACATTTTAGTGTGTGTGTGTATGTTTTGCGATTATGGAATGGAACAAAGATTGAATATAAATTCATTGATGAAGATGATGATCAAATTATTGGAAGGATATGTGAATAAGTGAATATGGTCAAATGGTCAACTGATCGCAAAAACAGACATGCGAACCACAAACTACACGTTTGAAGGTTTGCAAGATACATCCGTACGATCAGCTGAATAAGTGTTTTTATTCGTTCAATCATATATAGAATTGTTTATTTACGGCTTAATCATTAAGTCGGAATGATTATATAGAATAATTCACGATCCCTCACTTGTCCTATTAAACCTTCTCAAACAAATCGCCACTAAAATGCTACAGAAAACTAAAAGATTTTTGGTCTAGCGGTATCTGGATTATTGGCTTCCTATGAGGTCAAGAGTTCAAACCTCGATAAAGCTGCGGAGAGTGTGTGAGTTTATTTGTTTTATTTGCTGTATATAAATATTATATATTTTTAAAAAAAATGCTTCAAAAATTATCCAATTCTGTCTCTTTTTAACGAGTATAAAATCTGGCGGAATGGGGAAACCATTATTATCGAAACGGGACCCTCGACGAAATAATTGATCCGAAACTAAGAGGTGAGATCGCCCTCGGGTCGTTAAGAAAGTTTGGAGAGGTAGCGAATAGTCGATACAAATATCTGTGGTCATTTAAAATGCTACAAGAAGCTGTTGAAAAAAATTTAAGGATGACGACAGACAGTCGATAAAAACCTGTTGTCTCAGAAAACAATGAATCATAAAGATTCTGATCTAAGTTTTTTAATCCACTAGTTGTGTACCCGTGCAATGCGACGGGAACCATGAATTTTAACGATTTTGAAGTTTCACTCGTTTTGTAAGATAAGATTTAATGATGATATATGTTACACTTGATTTTTTTACATATTAATACAATTTGAATAAATAAGAGTTAATTATGGTTCCAATTACAGACTATCGCTGAAAAAAATTGTATGACAGTTTAAAATCCAACATATTTAAACGACTCCACAAATGTGTTCGATTTACATCTAGAGCAAAGAACCAATAAACTTGAGTTTTAAGATAAACACTCAAAACCAATAAAGAAAACTACAAATTTGACAGATCATAAGCAATGAAAAGACAAAAAAGATGGGTTTTAGAATGAAATTTCAACTGTTTACCCTCTTTCTTGTCCAGAAACTCAGATTAGGGTTGAATTAATACATGTATATATATATATATATATATATATTTCAAAAAAACCCAACATATTAAGTCAGAACATATTATACAGTGCAATTTGGACAGCCTAACCCCAAAATATATAGTATATATATATAAATAAATAACTATAAAAATATAAATCGTAAATATTAAAAATATTTTTTCACAGTATATATAATATATAATAATATAATTAAGTCAAAAACTATTCAATATTAGACTCATTTCGAAAATATTAACGAGACGATTATAATGGTGTAACTTGTTAAAATAAAAATGTATTTTTTAAACATGTTTTAATTGATATACGATTATGTATATTAATTTGATAAAAGTTTAAAATGAAACATTTAAAAGTAAATGACGTAAAGTAAATTAATTAACTAATTATAGGAGTATAAAGTGTAAATTTAAAATTATAATTTTAAAAAATCGGTTGTGAGAGAGTGAGTGTATGTGAGAGGGTGAGTGTATGTGAGGAGAGGAGGGGGTGAAAAAGTAATATAAAAGATATCTTGGTCATTTAATATTTTAAGATTTTAAGACTTTTATTAAATTTGTTTTATAGATAATAGATGGAATAAGATATCAGGGGTTGAAAAATGTGGTTTGTTTTGTCATGTAAAAATATATATACTATATTATAAAGCATTTAATAAAAAAATTTAAAAACTATTTTTTATACATAAAGTATTGTTTATGCATGTTACTTATAATTCAATATCAGAAGTGGATTGTGCGTAAGTACAACTTATTAAACCTTCATTTTTGAATTCATGTAACTAACTGTAGATAAACATAATAATATAAGGATAAATATCACATTTTAAATATAAAAAATAATTAGGATAATCGTTGAATTCTAATAAAATACTTAATTATTATTTTTATAAAAAATTGTATTATTAAACCAAAAATAAATCTATTCGTTATTAAACCAATATAATACTTAATTATTATTTTTATAAAAAATTGTATTATTAAACCAAAAATAAATCTATTCGTTATTAAACCAATATAATACTTAATTATTATTTTTATAAAAAATTATATTATTAAATAAAAAATAAATTGATTTATTAATAGACCTAAATTAAATTATAATAAAAAAATTGAATTACTTTTCAATATCTTCATATATATATTTTATTCAAAAATAAAAACATTATTACTTTCTCAAAACTATATAAAGTTGTATCATATCAATATACAAAAAATAAAAAAAACAATAAAATCGAGATGTATCTCGCTGCAGTATGCGAGAACCCTTCTAGTTAATTTAAACAAATAGCTCATATTTTAGATTATTGGTAAAAAAAAATTTGGTATCTATATTTCGGTTCTATCTTTAACATATCAGGGTCGTTTACTAAATTTCTTACCCGATATACGCTTACCGAGTCATTTAGCCTTACCCGATGAACAAGATAAGGATCAATAATCTTATCCAGAAAGAAGGATGACAAATGTCGAGAGTCTTACTCGGTAAGTGAGGTGGACGACTCTTATCCAAATAACATTTACTAGATAAATTGTTACATACAATAATATTTTAATGGATTAAAATCTTACCAGGTAAAGTAAATGAGAGTGTTCGAATAATATCGTTTGGGCGAATACTTACTTGGGGTGTAAAAATCAAAATGCATGGCTGCCAAGGGCTCCTTAAGGGTGCATTTTGTGTATTGAACAAGATAGGACATAACATAACATAACATAACATAACATGGATCATTGTTCCATTCTCACCCCATGGAACAAGCTGGAACAAGAAATAAACTTATGTTTTATTAATATAACCTTAAAATAAAACTTAATTATCTTCTAAAATATTAAATATGCATTCCTCTTTACATTTTATTCATTTTTTTTTAAAATTACTTATTATATTTTATGATCGTTAAACTTTTAATTAATGTCCTCAAATATTAATTTATATGGTTTTTATATTTTGATTAATTTATATAATTTATTAAATATTAATAATAGAAAGAAATAAAAAATTTTAATTGAAAATTTTCTAATGATATTTTGTATACAAAATATTTATTTTATTATATTTAATAAATATTTAGTTCTCTCTTTAACTAATCTTATCCGGAAACCAAAAGGCAAAGGCAAAGGCAAAGGCAACCCAAGTGATACGGCAAAATGAATTTTGTACACCAAATGTTAAGTTAGCATGTCACTTCCACCCCGATACAGTCTTAGTCAATGGTACAACTCATAATGCTCCAAGTACAAGTTATTGCTTATGGGTTGGGAAGACTTTCCAAGTCTTAACTCTAAACAGAGATCGCCAAAAAGAGGTCCTACATTATGTCGGACCGGTTTTGATTCCATTGAAAATTCTTAGGTCCGGTTAAAAGTATTTGTAACTGGTCATGGTCCAGGGCCGGGCCAGGCCGGTCCAGGCCCAAACCAATCATATTTTAATTTTTTTTTATATTTTTTAAATAGATTTTTAAGAATATTTTAATATTATTCTAATACATTTTAAAATATCTAACTACGTCAATCAAATACATTTAAAAAAATATTTTATTGTAGTTTTATAATTTGCTTTCAATCAAATACATTTAAAATTACGTTTTATTATAGTTTTATAATTGATATTCAATCAAATTTACTTAAAAAATATGTTTTATTGTAAATTTATAATTTGATTTTCAATAAAATACATTTAGAAAACTAGAAATACGTATAAAAATACATTCGCAGCGGATTTATAATTCTTAGTACGAGAGTATAACAGGGTCTTAAAAATCATCGAAACTTGGCTTAACCTAACATAACATAACATGCTATTAATACTCTTCACTTAAGATACAGCCACAAGTGATCTGATCATACGACTCTTCCACCATGATCACTACTATGTTCACCTTCACTTTACCACTCCTCCTCCTCACCACCATCGTCGCCGCCCAACCTTACAAAGCCACCGATCTCTTCCTCCTCAACTGCGGTTCATCCACCGCCACCATTTTTGATCACCGGAAATGGGATAGCGATGAAGGTTCCAAATTCGTAATCTCCGGCACCTCCTTTTCATCCAAACCTTCCTTCCAAGATTCTTCAGTCCCACCAATCCCCTACTCCACCGCCCGAATCTTCAACACTTCTTCCTTCACGTACAAATTTCCGGTCACCGAAGGCCCCAAATTCCTTCGCCTCCATTTCCACCCCGTCACATACTCCCATCTTCAAGCAGACCAATCTTTCTTCTCAGTATCAGCAAATGGCTACACTCTCTTAACCAACTTTAGCGCTTTCCTAGCCGCCTCCTTTATCGAAAACTTCCGCTCTGATTCAAGAGACGTCGTCAGTGCCCAAGCTTCCTACTTTGTCAAAGAATTCATTGTCTATGTAAAAGATATCCAAACCTTGAAGGTTATCTTTACACCCATGCCCAACTCATATGCCTTCATCAACGGTATTGAAATCGTTTCAATGCCGGAAAATCTGTATTTTAACGGTGAGAACTTGAACTACGTGGGTCTAACTACAGGGCCTAAGATTGCTGACGGCATGGCTCTCGAAACTATGTACAGGCTAAACGTGGGTGGGGGATATATATCCGGTAACGATGATACCGGCACCGGCGGCATGTATCGATCATGGGAACCAGATCCTGATTACATATTCGGTGCAGCTTATGGGCTAACACCAAGTGCAACGACTCCGATCACGTACACCATGGAGACACCTAATTACACAGCACCTGAGCAAGTTTATGCTACCCAAAGGAGTATGRGCAACCTGTCGGAACACTACAATCTGACTTGGAKACTTCCAGTTGATTCTGGGTTCTATTACATGATCAGACTCCATTTTTGCAATATCATACCACAATACAATAGAAGTGGTCAGATGGTCTTTACGATTTTCATGAATAATCAAACTGCTGAGAAGRAGGCTGATCCATTGTACTGGACTCAAGGTAACGGAAATCCGGTGTTCAAGGACTACGTTTTGTTTGTCAGTGATCCAGATAATCGCGAAAGCAAGCAAGACCTGTGGCTGACGATGCATCCTAACTTTGGTGCCTCGACAGAATACCTTGATGCTTATCTGAATGGTTTAGAAGCCTTCAAGTTGAGTAAGGTTGGTAGTCTTGCTAGCCCCAATCCAGAGCTTAGTTTTAGAACCCCACTGCCAACGCCGGCATCTTCCACGAGAAGGAACAAGAATAAAACTCCATATGCCGCAATAATTGGAGGAGTTGGGGGAGGGTTAGTCTTCTTGTCTCTTTTAATTCTTATAGTTTAATAATTGCATTGTAGAATAGGGTGATTAAATCATATATGATATATATATATATATATATATATATATATATATATATATATATATATACACTTTTATTTACAAAATGATGTTCAATTACTCCATATGAAAACCAAACTACATATATATATATATATATTCAACTATCACATCATTCACCAGAAACGTGGAAAAGAAATAAAATGAAGTTTGAAAATTAATTAGACAACTAAATTGGCAGCATATGTGGAAGACAAGAGAGACAGAGTGGCCTCCATTATTTTCTTTTTTTTGGGAAAAAGAAGATATTTCATTTAATTGACGAAGGGAAATGTTAAAAACAATTGGTTGGTTGTCTATTAAGTTTTATATGAATAAAGTTGTCTATATTGGTTAATTTATGACTCTCTCGAAGGTTTTTTCATATATGAAAGAAGCTTGTTTAATTGAGAGGGACAGGTTCAGAAAAAAAAAAAAAAACTTGACGTTCTGCATAAAGCTCCTCCTAGAAGCTACTGAATAAGCCATTTTATATATTGTTAAGCGACTACCAAACAGACATGTATAGTTAACTGAATAAATTGTGAGTGTCATTAAGCTCATCAAGTTGTTAACAAATAGACTCCAAGTCCCTTGACCTTTTTTCTAACAAATAAAACCTTGAACTTATTGAAATCGAACAAATAAATCATTGAAATTACAAAAACCAAACAAATAAATACTTGGGTTTCTTCCCTTTTAACAAGTTTAAGAATTTATTTGTTCGACTTCAATAAGTTCAAGAATTTATTTATTAAAAAAATAGGGACTTAATCATTCAAAATAAATATAAAAATAGGTTGGGTTTTTTTCCATGGACTCGTGCCATTGACAAAAGCTAGAGATTACATGTTTTAGATCCAACAAATTAAATACATGATCTAGTGACAAATGAATGGTCATTGGACTAAATTTTTTCTATTAATTAGAGTGACGATATCTCAATACTTGGCAACAAACGTCACCAGCAACAGCAACAGCAACAGCAACCAACCATAGGTTGAACAATTAGCAGATAAGCATACAACACATAGGGATACAAAAGACAAGGCCAAAAAAGATATCTAATTCAAAACAGTTTCTACAAATTCAGAGGTAAAAAAACCGTTTTTCACCATAACTTTCATTCTCACCGAAATCCAACCATAAGATATTATTGAACATGCATATTTATATTTACTATATTTTATAGACTAAATATACTAAGAAATTCAAATAAAAAGACTAAATATCGTGAAAAGATAAAAAAAGAATGTTAAGGAAAGGTTCAAATGTTAACCGTTGAAAAAATCTATTTGAATATGCATGCAATAACCTATATGAATAGATATTTTTCGATGATTCATGCATGAACCTTCCATTCTTTCCTTCTTATGATATTTAGTTTTTCTTATTTAAACAGGCCCCTTGAAACATATACAAAGGGTGCTCATGGGTCGGATTGATCGGGTTGAAGACATTTGAACAACACAACTCAATGCTTGCGGTTTGAAAAATCTTAAAACCCAACCCAACCCGTACGGGTTGATCGGGTTGATACTTTGGTATATTAAAATATTATTCTAACATATAATATGTTATTTCTCTACTCACAATTTCTTTTTCATAATCAACCATTTGATACAACTTATCTATACTTCTTACGTATATCACATTTAGTTAATTTTCTCAATTCACATATATATGTTCACATTTATTGAACATATATACGAATGAGTTATATAAAGATGTAAATAGATTGAGAATATGTGTATATGAAGAGCATACATACATGAATATGTGTATGGGATAGCGATGAAGGTTCCAAATTCGTAATCTCCGGCACCTCCTTTTCATCCAAACCTTCCTTCCAAGATTCTTCAGTCCCACCAATCCCCTACTCCACCGCCCGAATCTTCAATACTTCTTCCTTCACGTACAAATTTCCGGTCACCGAAGGCCCCAAATTCCTTCGCCTCCATTTCCACCCCGTCACATACTCCCATCTTCAAGCAGACCAATCTTTCTTCTCAGTATCAGCAAATGGCTACACTCTCTTAACCAACTTTAGCGCTTTCCTAGCCGCCTCCTTTATCGAAAACATCCGCTCTGATTCAGGAGACGTCAGTGACCAAGCTTTCTACTTTGTCAAAGAATTCATTGTCTATGTAAAAGATATCCAAACCTTGAAGGTTATCTTTACACCCATACCCAACTCATATGCCTTCATCAACGGTATTGAAATCGTTTCAATGCCGGAAAATCTGTATTTTAAACCAAACAGCTTGAAATACGTTGGGATTTCTGACGACATGGCTCAAGAAACAGTTTACCGGCTAAACGTAGGTGGGAGACATATACCCGGTAACGCTGATACCGGCATGTATCGATCATGGGAACTAGATGATGATTACATACTCGGTGCAGGTTATTATGGGCTAACACCAGTTACTATGGCTCCGATCACGTACACCATGGAGACACCTAATTATACCGCACCTGAGCAAGTTTATGCTACGCAAAGAAGTATGGGCAATTTGTCAAATCACTACAATCTAACTTGGATGCTTCCAGTTGATTCTGGGTTCCATTACAAGATCAGGCTCCATTTTTGCAACATTATACCACAATACCATACAAGTGGTCAGATGGTCTTTACGATTTTCATGAATAATGATACTGCCGAGGAGCAGCTTGATCCATTGTACTGGACCAAATACGGGGATCCTGTATTTAAGGATTACTTTGTGTTTATCTTCGACCCAGATAGAAGCCATAGCAAGCAAGATTTGTGGATCGCAATGCGTCCTAACCTTAACGCCTCTAAAGAATATCGTGATGCTTATTTGAATGGTTTGGAAGCCTTCAAGTTGAGCATCGCGGGTGATCTTTCGAGCACAAACCCGGAAATTTTTCATTCCTCGGAATCTCCCACGGAAGTGATCAACCGGAAGAAGATTCCATATTGCGACATAATTGGAGGTGTCGGGGGAGGGTTAGTCCTGTTATCTGTTTTAGTTCTTATAGTTTTATGGAGGCAAAGGCGAGCCAAAGACCACGGTACCACCAACGATGACAAGCCATACTGGGGCCTAACTTCCATTGAATTGAGATCTACAAGGAACGGCCTTTCATCACTCTCATCAGATCGCTGCCGGCACTTTACCCTTAGAGAAGTGAGAGTTTCCACCGGTGAATTCAATGACAATTGTGTCATCGGCAGAGGAGGGTTCAGGAAGGTGTACAAAGGCTGCATCGACAACGCTAAAACCACAGTCGCCATCAAACGGCTCAACCCATCATCCAACCAGGGTTTTCATGAATTCCAAACGGAAATCAAGATGCTATCAAAGCTACGGCACGCTCATCTAGTCTCCCTGATCGGGTTCTGTGACGAGGATGGCGAGATGGTACTCGTCTACGACTACATGGCTCATGGTACTCTACAAGAACATCTCTACAAGACCAAAAACCCTCCTTTACCATGGAAAACCCGTCTCCATATCTGCATTGGCGCAGCCCAAGGGTTGCTTTATCTCCACACGAGTGCCAAACGTGGGATAATTCACAGGGATGTCAAGTCTACAAATATCTTGTTGGATGAGAATTGGGTGGCTAAGGTTGCTGATTTCGGTTTGTCAAAGCTAGGGCCAAAAGGTGAATCAGATACACACGTTACCACGTTGGTGAAGGGCAGCGTCGGGTATTTGGATCCTGAATATTACCGTCGACAGCAACTCACGGACAAGTCCGATGTGTACTCTTTTGGAGTGGTTTTGTTTGAGGTTCTGTGTGCAAGACCTGTTATCATTCCATGGCTGCCCAATGAACAAGTGAATTTGGCTGAATGGGGCAACTATTGCTATCGAAAAGGAACCTTGGATGAAATAATCGATCCAAAACTAAGAGACGAGATCGCACCTGGGTCGTTAAGGAAGTTTGGGGAGGTAGCAAATAGTTGTTTGAAAGAACAAGGAAGCGAACGACCAGCCATGGATGCTGTAGTTTGTGGACTAGACTTTACGTTGATACTGCAAGAAGCTGCTGAGCAAAAAGACGGTGAAGAGCATACCACAATGGAAGTGGAAGGACAATGATAATTATGTCTGGTTCTTTTTAAAATGCATGTGGTTTGTTTTATTCGCCATGTAAATGTATACCAATTTGAATCATGTAATTAAAGGATTGATATATACCAGTCAGGATCCACAGATTACTACCATTCAGCACCACCATCAGATTCAAGAAATGGAAGTTTCTACAGCTGAATTTAACGAAAATTGTGTTATCTACAAGGGAGGTTTTGGAAAGTTGTACAAAGGGTACATGAACAATGGTACAACCACTGTTGCAATTTTCATGAATTCCACACAGAAATACAGATGCTATCGAAATTACGCCATGTCTATCGAAATTACCTCCGTCCCATATGCTTCCTTCCTCCAAGTCTCATCCAACGTGCCTCCACCCCATTAATTTCCTAGATCCGCTACCGGAAGTGATCGACCAACGATGGACGTTGTAGTTTATGGATTAGAGTTTGCATTGCTGCTACAAGAAGCCGCTGAGAAAATGGACGACAAGGCCATGTCAAATAATCAAGAAGAGTCGACCACGGAAAAAAGATACGTTTTATTTTGTTACGTAAGATTGTGTATAGATAACTCCAGGTTATTCATGGTTAGTCGGTGGACATAAATGGACTGAAAACTCACACTTACCAAAGAGAAATATAAATATCATATGATACTATGTTTTATAATATTTAATATTTTGCGTCGTTATAATCATTTTATATTGGCAACATATCAGGGGTGTTAAAAAAACGTTGGATCATTTAAACCAGTCAAACCAAGTTAAACTGGACCGTTTTTTGTGGTTTGAGCGGTCTGATGGTCCGGTTCGGTTTGAAAAATGGTCAAACCATTCAGTTCGGTCCGTCTGTGGTTTGATCGGTTATTAAGTGGTCTAGAACGAACCAACCGTCAAAATATATATGTTTTAATTACATTTAGTTTTCATGTTGTGGGTTCCACTTTTTTTTTATAATTAACCTGCATATCTAACCCGCTATGCGAGTTGACTAATCCCTTGATGACCACCTGCTTTGCAGATAGCCCGGAGTCACCGCATTTGAACCTTTCTTCGGTTCTGAAATTACAAAATGGTTATCGTGGTTTGTAAAAAATGTTCGAATTTGGTTCTTACCTCTTAACAGTCATGAGAAAATCTCGTTAAATAAGGGGCACCGATTTTTCTTATTGTTTACCCAATCAAAAACCAAAGAGAAGAAAATATAAAATCGATTTTGATTGGATAAAAGACAAAAATCGATCAAATTACAAAATGTTTCTCATTTAACAGAATATTTAGAGAAAAGAATCAAACCCTGACGTTTTTACAGACAACGATGATGATTATTTTGTGATTTCAAAACTGTAAAAACAAAAAAATGTTATTTTTAACAAACCACATGGACCAATTTTTTAGTTTACTCCTATTTCAGTTATATGTAAACACATTTATACTATATCATAAAACATTAATTTGACAAAAAAAAATTAAAAACTATTTTTTATGTATGAAGTACTGTTTATTGATGCATATTACCTAAAGTTTAAGATTACAAATAAATTGTACGAAAATACAACTTATTAAAGCTCTATGTTTGAATTCGTGTAACTAACTACATATAAACATAATCAAATACATGATAAATATATCATATTTAAATATAAAAAATTGAAATATAATTAAAATAATAATTGAGTTCTAACATAATACTTAATTATTATCTTTATAAAAAATTAATATTAAATCAAAAATAAATTATTTCGCTATTAAACCTTAAATTAAATTATAATAAAAAAATTGAATTAAAGAAATTACACAAAAAAGAGATCTTTTAAATAGTTAATGTGATACTGATATCGATATTCTTTTTTCAAAATTTTATGATATCTTCAAATTTATATTTTATTTAAAATAAAAATATTAACACTTTCTCAAAACCATATAAAACTGTATTATATCGACATGAATAGAGAATAAAATGAAACACTAAAATCAAGATGTATCTCATTGTATTGCGTGAGTATCCTTCTAGTACAAATAAGATATACATCGGATTCTTAATTTTCAATATGTAAAATTGATATATATATATATATATATATATATATATATAGGGGCTTAATCAAATGAGAACTAAATTGTTTGTGGTAACTGTGAGAACCAATTTCAACCACATATTATAATAATCAATGGGTAAGATTAAAAAGAATCTTAATTAATGTAATTCTAAAAATAAATTACTATCATTTAATGACATTATATGAATAAGGGCAAGATAGTCATTTTTGTATTTCAAATAATTTTTGTCACTCGAGAACTTGGTAGCACATAAACTAAACGGTTTTGGTTCATGTGGAGCTTAAACTCGGTCCTTACCCCGTAGGCGGTCCATTGGCAGCTTGCAGGTGTCGTTGCCGTCGAGGTTACTGGTGGTCCTACCGTTGACTTCGTTCCTGGTAGAAAGGTATGTTGATTTCATCAAATAGTTGAGACTTTTTCTGGGGTTCATTCTTATGTCTAATCCATCTGCAAGCAATTTCCTGTCTAACAAAGCCATAATCCTTGGCAAATATCTTAGTCATGGAAATATCATGGGAATTATTTTAATATTTTCTGCCAAAGTTTTCTTCTCTTTTAAATATTCCATGTTTCATTTAGGATTCAAGGATCTCCCCCAAGGAAGGCAGACTCCCAAATGCTAACAAAGGTTTTTATCCTATTTTTGTAAATAACTATTCATCTCATGCAAAGCATTGAGGTTATTTATCAATGGCTTCTTAAGCCTTAGTCTACTGGTGATGTGTCATGCTCTTTAAATTAATATATATATATATATATATATATATATATATATATAGATGTATAATATGATATTTTAATTTTCTAAATTGTCTCAATTTTATCATTTCAAAAACATATTTTCTGGGATAGTAGAGAAAGTTTTATTTTCACAACCTAAAGAGAGCTTGCATAATTGCTCCTGCCCATACACATACACCTACATGCACACAGGTTGTAGCTTCTGCGGGATCCTGCATGATGGATAATGCTTGTGGAAGAGGCACACAACCTTGGAGCTGATATCTCATCCATGATTACGTAGCATACTCTCACATCTCCTTAGAGTCCACAACAACCATTGGTACCTATAATGTTACAAAAAAAGAATAATACTTGGAAGTTCGCACATCTTCATCGCGGAAAACTTGTAGTGAGTTGTAAATTGGTGTTCATAGTCAAACTTAACCCTGGCGATTCATTACACCGGTTGAAAGCCTGCTTAGTTGCAAAGGGTCATTCTCAGGCCTATGGGGTTGACTTTGACTACCATGCAGCTTTCTCTCCAATGACCAAGATGCTATGTGTTCGTATTTGTATAGCCTTAGCTACCATTCATCATTGGCCACTCCATGAATTGGATGTCAAAAACGCACATGTATCATATGTATCACATCGTATCACATTGTATCATAGTACCACCTGGTGATATTGATAAGCCCTCTTCTGCTTGATCAATAGCTGTAAACATGAATTCAAACATATACATGGACCATTTATTAATGTACCACAAGTTTGCACAACAATATACCATCTTTATATACACAGTACCACGAGAAGATACACATATAATTGTAGATATTAAAGATTTCCAGAATCAAAACCAGAAGATAAAACCAATACAGAGTAGACAGTAAGAAGTATTCTGAAAACATGAATTCAAACATATACAAGGACCATTTAATAATGTATCACAAGTTTGCACAACAATATACTGTCTTTATATACAGAGTACCACAACCATGCCTAAATCATTGATACATACAGAGGCATTACAGGTTCTAATACAACAAAATACATCTAAAATTAATAGACATAAAAAAAAAGCAGATATTAAAGAATTCAATAATCACACCAAGAAGATATTAAAGAATTCAATAATCACGCCAAGAATATAAGTAAAGTGAACCAGGTGATGATAAATAATTTAGATAACACACTGTGATACAAATCAGATTGAACACAAATATGTGAGATTTCATGTGATTCATCAGAATCATGAACATGATTACACAAACGAATTATTTTTTTTGAAATTATTTCAATAAATMTTATTAATATTTTATTTTAGGAATGTAAATCAATATTAATTATTTTATTTGAAACGGTTGCATTTTAAAAATTAAAATTTAATTTTAAATTAGGAATTGACNATTTTATTTGAAACGGTTGCATTTTAAAAATTAAAATTTAATTTTAAATTAGGAATTGACTAACATACCCTTTTAATTTGATTTTAATTGTATAATTAATATATTAAAATGATTGGTTGAGATTGGTTCTCACAGTTACCACAAACAACTCAGTTCTCCCTTGAATAGGCCCCTATATATATATATATTTGTAAATATTGAATTTAGAGATAATGTTAAATTGGGATCAACCAATAGGAATTTTGTGGTCGAATTGATTGGTCATGGTTCTAAAAGACACCAAAATTGGCACCCGTGAAGTCATGTATGGGACATGAAATGTTTTGTCTTATAAGAACCAAGTTCCTGTTTCTTAGTGGCTGTAATTTCTCGAAAATCCGACCCTTGACGAAAACGCCGTTATCGATTTCTTTAAAGCAACGACGATCAACAGTCGAATCCCGATTCATTACAAGAAAACACGAGATGTTTAATGGACGAAGGCCAATTTGCTTCACGACTGGTGTCTTATCACTATTGGCAATCTTGATGATGATGATGATGATGATTTTGATCAAAGATTGTGACGGATGGCGGTTGTCTTCGACGGCGGCGTGCAACGGAAGTGGCTTGGCAGAGTGTCGGGTTTTGGAAGAAGAAGCGCAAGAGTTTCTAATGGATACCGAAGAACATAGGCGGATTCTGGCGACGACATATATTAATTATGATAGTCTAGACCGTCAAAATCCGGCTTGCGGGGATAATTGCGTTGGATCCCAAAAGTACAATGTCAACGGCAGGCCGTGTAGAACATATGATCGTTGCCGCACTTGATCTACAGGGTTTGGTTCTTGTTTGTTGTTTGAATCCTTCTGGAGCTCTTTAATTTCTTGTGAATTACTATCGTTTTGCCTTATCTAGTGTCGGTTCGTGGGACTGTTTGTTTTACCATCAGATCGTTAATTGTCTATACGAATAACGATAATGAAAAGGTAAATCTTTTGTGGTATCAATATTACAATGACTTGTATTTTATACGGTAAAAGCTATATATATACACTTCATTCCTAAGGGTCCAAACTCCTGTATGGGTTTTCAGTAATCAAGGGTGCAACCGATTAATAAATACTAAAAGGGTATTTGCATAATGCAACGAGATACATCTCGATTTTAATGTTTTTTTTTGTCTCATTCGACGTTATAATACGGTTTTATATGATTTTGATAAAGCGATAATGTTTTTATTTTTGAATAAAATATAAATATGAAGATACCCTAAAAATTAGGAAAAATATATTGATAT